TAAGAATTGCCTAGCAACACCCAAACAACCATCTGGGATATCATAGCAACCACCTAGCAACACCCTGGCAACATTCTGGGATACCATAGCAACCACCTAGTAACCACCTAGCAGCACCCTAGCAGCCATCTGGGATACTGTAGCAACCACCTAGCAGCACCCTAGCAGCCACCTCGGATACTATAAGAACTGCCTAGCAACACCCTAACAACCTCCTGGGATAACATAGCAACCACCTAGCAACACCCTGACAACATCCTGGGATACCATAGCAACCACTTAGCAACATCCTAGCAACCTCCTAGAAAAACCCTTGCAACCACCTAGCAACACCTTAGCAAGCGTCTGGGATACCATAGCAACCACTTAGCAACTCCCTGGCAGCCAACTGGAATCGTATAGCAACCATCTAGCAACACCCTGGCAGCCAACTGGAACATCATAGCAACCACCTAGCAACAACTTTGGAATCATCTGGGTTATGATAGCAACTGCCTACCAACCAACTGGGATACCATAGCAACTACTTAACAACACCCTAGCAACTAGCAACTGTATATGCTTCAGGAAATGCACTGTTCTAGTTTTATTATCACTCGGTTCCACTTGTGGGCACCATGAACTCACTCCACCAATCACTGTTGTCTCTAACATTGGCATGGCGACAACCAAGACGATGGAATGACTCTGTCCCAGCCAGCCAAACTTTTGGACAAATGTCAAAAGGATTAACTTCTCTTCTGCTTTATCAGGTGTGGAGCTGCATCACCAAAAATAAATAAATAAATAAATATATAAATAAATAAATAAATAAATGCCAAGGAGCCACAAAATACTTAGGAGAGAATCAACAAGACAGCCACATTTGCAGCCAATCACTAAACATCTACCCATTTAGGAAATCTCCACAACACCCCAAAAATGCAGCCAGTATGGAGAGGTCTGTTCAAAACCTACTTTGTTTATCAGTGTAACCTTCTATATTGGGCGTCCATGTCAGGCGCCTCGATCTACATGTACAATAGTAATGTCTTTAGTGGGGCATGGTGATTGGCTAATGGGGCATTGCCCCACTAAATGTCACCTTGCTGTCTCTAGTTCCCAGCTCTGCTTAACATGTGGAACTACTTAAGAAAAGCTTAAAAAATAATGCAGGTGCACAGGGGATGCTAGGCTTTATAGCATATACCCCCCTCCCCTCTCATGCGCCCATGCCAGGGAGCTCCGTTCAGGCCCATGTTTGCATAAGGAAGTTGGAGTTGGGGCCACATTCGAAATGCACTTTAATGACGCGCCCCAACGTCAACAGGCCGTGTGTTTTCTCTCCGAATTAAAAACGTGTAAATCCTTCCCGCTAATTCCTGCGCAAATATTTTCTGTGGTATTTTTTCTAATAGCCCTTATTCATCATGTGTCAAAGAGGCCAAATAACAATATTTTGCCGCAGTGATGGCTCGTCTTCAGCCTCACAGCATCCTTTTGATTGCGTCCCTCGCTCTTTGTCTCTATGCTGTTCAGTTTCTCTCCATCTCGTGTGTGGGTAGGTTTAATCAGATGTAACATTTCCTCCGGGGTAATAGGGCCGGCTAATGGTCGTTTTCCCCCTAACGAGCGTGAGCTCCGGAGAGGCTGGCTTTTTACAGTGGCAGTAAATCTCCCAGGCCCAACGTGCCTTTGATTTGGGTTCTGTTATGTCGGTGTAAAATGTGAATGAATGTTTAAAGCCAGACACTCGTTCATTCAGACGGAAACGAATGCTCTCGGCTTTCTGGAAGTTCTTGTGAATGAAAGAGAGGAGCGCAGGGAAAGGGCAGCATGGTCACTGGGTTGCATGTGCATGTGTACATGCTCATATGCATGTATGTAAGTGGACAACAAAGAGAATCAGCAAAGCTTGAGGTGGCCGATATGGCAAAAATATAATATTGCGATACTAAGAAATTTCCACGATACACACAGCCAGGATATTTATATTTTCAGACATCAGATCAGTTGGAACTGAGAAAATAGAACCAGCAGTGCTTTAAAAATTACATCATCAAAATCATATCAAAAACTATGAATACAATGATTTTTATTCAATATTTGGCATATATCCAGTTAAACAGACTGGATGTATACAGACTAATTTTGGTCTCTTTATGGTAAAACATGCAGTTGGTCAATGTTCTAAAAGTACTGACAATATCCATAGTATGTTCTGAAAAGCGTGTTGTATTGTGTTGTATTGTGACTTAATTTATTAAGACAAATGCATATATTGTCAAATTGCCCAGCACTAACTTGAACATACACATTCAGCATTGGTCCAAAGTTTGGACTCACCTGATTTAATGTATGTTTCATTTTACGCTTAAATCATTCTTGTTAATCTAATTGTTTGCTGTTCAAAAGTTTGCGATCATTTGTTATAATAATCATTTGTGTTATTGTCATACTGTACTGTGCAAAAGTCAAAGACCACCCTTTCATTGATTTAATTTCTAGTGACGATGGCAGTTTAGTTCAAGTTATCAATTTTTCAAAGAGCAGAAATTATAATTCAACAGAAAATTACACAGAAGTCTCAATAACTAAATATACATTAAACACCTTTTTCAGCTTCCAAGAAATCTTCAGGGATATTTTTCCACACCTCCAAAAAATGTGATTACATTTTCTGTCTCCTTTTCTCAGTGAGGCTTCTTGACAGCAACACATCCTTATAGACCCATAACACTGAGTTGTCTTCTCACAAGGATGGACGGTTATGTTTTCAGATCTGAAGCAGCTTGATTTCCTCTCTCTCTTTCTCAAAGATGAAAGCTTTAAGTCAGGGGTATCAAACTCAACCACTAAAAAGGCCATGTTAAAAAATCTCAACAATCTGTGGGCCAGAGAACAACGATATTGTGTTTCATCTTTAATTAACATTTTGCTGTAAACCGAACTGGTCTTTGTTTATTCAAGATATGCAAAAACTTAAACAGTAAAATATGGGCACTTGTAGTAGACCTCGAAATATTACATGAATACTTGAAATATTCAAAATGTAAAGGTCCCCAGGTGCTTGGTCTTTTAAACCTGCCTATTTGATTGAACCAGACACCTGGCATCTTTTCTTTGCTGCAAGTCCATTAATACTTGGGCACAGTTTCTGAGCTGCTGAGCTAATGCTAGATGTTATTATGGTTGAACTGCAGACAGTTGTTTGGTGATACGACTGGTGTGGAATTGTGTAGAACTGAGGTGTAAATGCTGTTCCATAGACTGCTTTTGGGGTAGGAGAGTCAGAGCGCACATTACATTGCAGTGCATGATGGTGACTGTAGTGCAGTGCATTGTGAAACAGGCTAATATTAATAGAAAATTCTAATATTTTTGCAGGCTGGATAGGGTTGTGTTGTGTTTGACACATGGCCTCTAAGTGCTGTTTATCTGATGGGGACAGTGTTGGTGTCTACCAGGTCTTCCAGGTGGTTGTTAGGAGTCCCGTTTTCTCTGTAGCACTGAATCGTTTTTTTGACTCCAGATTTGGAAACTCCTGTTTTTTTTTCACTTATTGTGCTTTGACTTTCTCCTCAAGCAGGTAGATTTTGTTGCATCTGTTCTCCTCTCTGACTTTTGCACAGTAGTAAAAATGAAGAAAAACCCTTTCTGAGTAGGTGTGCTATTGGTGCTGTGTGTATGTGGGTGGGTTACTTTAGCATTTAGCCTTTCTGTAGCCTGTGCATTAGGGGTTTTTGGGTGTGTGGCCTACAAGTGCTTCTCCAGTCACATTCTCTATCATCTCTCTATCGTTCAAATAAATACGCACAGCTCACAGTTGGTGGTTAGAACATGTTGTAATCATGGTCTCCTGATGTTTGTGCTGCTGCCTGTGTCTTTGATGCCCACCCACTGCTCTCCGTGGCTAAAGGTGGCGTCTGCGAGGCTGCTGCTTTGCGTGCCTGTGCTGATTCAACAGCGCAGACTTCGGGGAATAGGAGGTCAGAGTGGAACTGGGGGCAGCGTGTGACGAAAATGGAAAAAGGGGGGATTCCCTTCTTCCAGGCCAACACACACAAACACACACGTTCGCATGCACGCACACACTGCGTCTGTCTGTTAGTTTAAGCGCCGCTACTGTAGCCAGGCTGTGGTCGCCTGGACGGCAGGTAGCGGACTCTTTCACTTAGAGCGCTGTTGCTGCGGCCTAATCTGCTCCAGATGAGGGAGAGAAACGATCCTTCTGTTCTGACTTCATTACAGCTGGGAGGTGTCCCAGAATGCCTCAGCGGGCCTGCGTGTCCATCACCATAGCCTGTGGGCTCTCATGTAAGATTTAGCTGTGGCTGTACCTGTGCTTGATGAACAGGGTATCTGAATCTGGTGCCCTGGTGATTACAGCTGTGGTGGGATGATTCTGTGCAGTACTTTGAACAGCAGTGGACAAATGTGACTATTAGAGCTAGGCCTTCAATTCAGGCCATAAATGTCATAAATGTAAGTAGAAGAGCAGATATTTTGTTATGATTTGAATGTGATGAGGGGTTGCTGTTGTGTGTACAATATTATTTTGTAGAAAGGAAACCATATTTTACATTTTTATCCAATTTTTATATTAAAACAAGCAGAAAAGTGCACAGGTGCAGACTGTCTATACGTGTAGAATGTAAATGTCATTCAATATGTGACCTACTGTGTAATTACATTTAAATTGCATATCCAAATAACAATAAAAACTTCAGACTGGGGCTAAATTTCAGAATATCAATGCTATACGTGTGTGGATGGGGGCAGCAGGGTGAATGGTAGCAAGTCAGTGGTACTTCATTGACATAAAATGGATCACAGGTTACATCATTGCTAAAGCACATAATAGACCTACATTTAAGAAAAGAATGAATCGTCAAAGTCTCATTAACAATATTACTGATTGGTAACATGAGCACAAATGAGTTACAAACACATATATGTTAAGTCTCTGTCCATCTTAGTGCTGATTTACATCTCTTTCTTTCTATTCCTCCCTGTTTCAGCGTCTGAGCCCAATCTGAAAGTGCGTTCCCGGCTCAAGCAGAAGGTTTCGGAGCGGAGGAATGGCCCCATGCAGCGCCGCAGAGACGGCAGTGTGCTCGTCACACCACCCAAGAAACGCTCGCTGGAGCCCAGCGGTAAGGAAACATGACAACACAGCAGACATTGATTAGCAATGCATACACATTGTATTCATTGTATAAGTTGGGAAGATGATGCATTGGGACCAGCAAGAAAATCATTTGTGCTTCATTAATGATCAGCTCTTTTAGGTGTAGATGATCAGCCAAGACATGTTTGCTACTGTAGTTTTGCACTGTTCCTAAGAAGCTAATGTAGCTAACTGCTCACATTCATAATGGAAGTTTCATTGGTATCGGTGATATTTTTTCACTGATACCAATAAAACAGCAGGTTGCAAATATCTGCCCATATTATCAGCTGATACATCAGTGGGTCATAGCGATGATCTGCAGTTAGGTGGTGCCAACTGGCACAATTCCAACTTTATTTTGGGCTGTGGCTGGGATGCAAACTTTCAATTTCCTGATAATTTTTTATCAGTACAATTGGTTATTGGAATTTTAATTCCCCCCAAATCGGTTTAGGCTACACAGTTCGTATATTGGCCCTATTCATCACATAGTTTTGTCAAACCGTGTTGAATTGGAGTAATCTCAAATATATTTAGACTTCATTAAGACATGCAGTTTGCATGATGCTAACTGGAGGCTCTAAGCTTCCATTACATTTTAACTTCAACAGCCTCATAGCTTAAGTGCGAAACTAAAGAAGCATACCAACGAACATATCTATCATATTTCAGTAAAATGTAAATATGATTATTGGCTCAACAAACGCTTTAAGCAAGAAAAATACTTTACTAACCAAGCTGCTTTTTTTTTGCAAAAGGTTGTTATCCCACTGTCAGCATCCACTAACCCAAAAAATGCTCTCTGTCTCTCACACAGATTCCTCAGCCAATGACAGCTCTCCCAGCTCTGGCCCCAGCTCTCCTATTGGCTTATGCAGTAATGAGAACGGAGCGTCCTACAGGCCCAGTGCTGCCCAGTTAGAGGTAACATGAGCACTGTACACTAACCGTCCAGGTCGTTAGAAACCTCAATATTATGCCTAAACTCACTGACCATTTTATGAGCTCCACATATCTTATAGGTCCATGATACATGTGTACAGTTATAGACTGTGGCCCATCTATTGCCGCCCCCGTCTACCCCATTCATCACTGGTCAGCTATTATTTGGGTGGTGGATTGTTCTACGAACAGCTTTGACACTGACAAGGTAGTTTGTGTGGTGTATCTGGTGTTTTTATATATGTCAGTGTCACTGCTAGGTTGAGAGTTGACCACCACCTATTTAATCAAGCTGTCGTGGAGTTCTTGTGCTGATGTTGAGGCAGTTTGGAACTCTTTAATGAGTGATGTAACAGAGGATAAGGTGATTTTTATGCACTTGGCAGCCCCACACTGTGAGTTACACAATAACAGCTACAGTTTACCAGGGCAGATATAGCAGAGACTGATTTGTGGCAAAGATGTCATCTTATGACAGTATCAGTGTTTGTCTATGGAGATTACAGGGTCATATGTTCAATTACACACCTGTTAACGACGAGTACAGCTGAAACACCTGAATAATTGGGATGAGTGTCCACATACTTTTGGCCATATAGTGTAAATTATCTCTGCCTGTCTTTTTATGTAATTTGTGTGTGTGTTTACTAGCTGCAGAAGCTGATGTGAATGTGAATGTGAGCAGTGCAGCATGGGAAGCACTTTTAACTTGACAATCTGTTGAAGCATCCAATATAAATCTCTTGGATAAAGATCTCTCTTAAAGGAATAGTTTGTCATTACACAATTTTTTCCAGAGATGTAGTCAGTCAGCTGAGACTTGGATTTGGGCTATTTGGGTGACTATTGAGTTCTAATGTTCGTTAGCAATGTTATAAGCTGTAGTTCTAAATGAAAGAAGTTTGGACTCCAAATGTGTGGATAATTGACTACATGTGGAGTGAGTTGGGCAAATTTGATTATTTGCTGAACTATTCCTTTACACAAATGTTGCTTGATTTTTATTCAGGAAGAGCTTATTTTGAGGCTGTTTCTGGACCATTTCTACTGACTATTATCAGTCATTCATCATTTTAATCAAGCATAACTGGCTGTCTTCTTCAAAAGCATGGATCGTTACAGGCCTTTTAAATTATGTTTACCGTGTTTGACTTTCTTTCTAAATAAAGTACTGAAAGGATGATTGCATTTCCTTCTGTTTCCACTTGGTACAGATTTGTAAAGTAGAGGTAAAGTAATGAGAAGTGAGATTAATTTTCCCATAAATTAGGTGAAGTGATCCCATTAGTAACTACACCGAAACTGGCCTTAAAGCAGTAACGACCTGGAACAGTGCAGTTGCGCAAAAACAGGTTCAGTTCTTGGCTACTGTACTCTTTAGTTTGACACCCCCGAAAGCCGCTGGTTGAGATCCATGATGCTTTAGCACGCAATGTGTTGTTTACGCATGTTGGCTAGCGGCTCCGCACCCCGGCAAATGTTCCATTGTTTGGAGTGTGTGTGAAAACCTGCTGAAAGAGTGCGAGCGTGTTCCTCCAGGCCCTCATAACAGTGTACTGTAAAACAGAGCAGTGTCATAAACAACACTCTTAAAAACTCATTCTGCTTCACAGCATGATTACATCAGTCCCTAGAGCAGCTATACATACTTTCTCTCTCTTCCTCTCTCTCACTCACTCTCTCTCCCTCTTTCTGTCCCTACCTTTTTCTCTTGCTCCCTCTCTTTCTCTGATGCTCTTTTTCTCCCTGTCTCTCTCTCGCCCTGTCTCCCTAAATACATACATACATGTATATATATATATATATATGAAATTTATACACAATGTAAAGGACAACAGGCACTTTCAAATTATGCCAAAAACTGAAAAACAACAAATATATATATATATATATGTTTATGTATGTATATATGTGTATATACCTCCCTCCCTTCTACATGCTATTGTAACAGTTGTGCTGCTACCGTGCATTAACAGTGTTACAATATGTGCCATGTGTTTGTATGTGATTGTTTTACTGTTGAGTTCCACAATTTTTCACAGTTTCTGCATTTTTCAAACATTTAAAGGGAATTCCATCGATTTGTATTCATTATTCAGTGTTTGAGATGTAAACAAAGCCATTCGGAGTTGTTTGATGTGAAATGGTTCATTGTAGTGAAACTTACTCTGATTTCTCTATAGTGGTGCTGATAGGAACCAGGGGTCACCATGTCTACAACACAAATATAGCCATTTTATTTTACTATCAAAAACTGACAGTGAATCTACAAATGTCTTCTGAATTTATATGTAACATTATAATGATAAAATAATGGTAGATTAAGGAAAGAAGTTTTCTTTGGGGACCGTTTTGCCTTATAATGTCCTGTGTGTCTCCAAACAATTAGTAAATGTTGTTGAAAGGAAAGGTGATGTAACACAGTGGTAAACAGGCTCTTGTCCCGACTTTTTTGGAATGTGTTGTAAGCACCAAATTTGGAATGAGCGTATATTTGGAAAAAACAATGAATTTCATTAGGTAAAACATAAAATATTGTTTTTTTATTGTTTTCAATTTATTGCAGGTCAAACAGAATTAACTAATCACTGCCTTCTGTTTTTTATCAGCATTCACATACTGTCCCAACTTTTTTGGCAGAATCCTGGGCTTAAGGTTGACGATTACATAAAACCTGAAAATATATGTATTGTTACACTTTTAGTAGTTGCTAAATAATAAAACTTACGATTAAGAGCTGAATAATATGCCTGGGGTTTGAGGGGTTAAGGCCGAGCCTCTGCTTCACTGTGACTGGCAGGTCTTTTCCGCTCTGTGCTGCGGTTTCTGGCTGAAACTGCTGGTATGAGGCTGGAGGCGGGAGGTGTGTGGGGGGATGTGCTGTGAAGTTCTGCCCAAGCATTTCCTCATTGGGCTGAAGGCCAATGTACGGGGGCAGCAAAGCCCCCCCTTCTCCTCCTGTGGAACCCCTGGACACAATGGAGCTCTTTCTGCAGCTCATCTTCACACACGGCCCCCAGAGAGCGCCTGTTTGTGTTTGTCTACCAAAACTGTCCAGTGAAACGCACAGGGGTGGGCTTAAGACACAGTTAGTATATGTGTGTGTGTGCATGTGTGTGTGTGTGTGTGTGTGTGTGTGTGTGTGTGTGTGTGTGTGTGTGCATGTCTGTGTTTAGGGCTTAATTGCTATCCCAGGTGTCGGGATCTGTGGACCCCCCATACTGAGCTAGAGCTGAAAAGTGTGCACACATAGAAACACACACAAACTTGTTTTTATACAATGTCAGGACAGCAGAGGTGTTCACAAGTCAGTTCATGCAAGTCCAAATGGAGTCTCAAGTCTCCTGGGCATGAGTCTGGGTCAAGTCTCGAGTCTCTTAGGTTTGAGTCCTAGCCAAGTCTTGAGCCTCTGGGAAGCCGAGTCCAAGTTGATTCTCGAGTCTCTAGGGTGCGAGTCCGAGTCAAGTCTCAAGTCTCTGAGGTGCAAGTCCGAATCAAGTCTCTGGCATGTGAGTCTTAGTTGAGTCTCTGGGGTGCAAGTCAGAGTCTTGAGTCTTTGAGGTGTGAGTCTGAGTTGAGTTGGGGGGGTGGTTGGAGGGGCAAGTCCAAATCAAGTCTTGATTCACTGGGGTCCAAGTCTAAGTTAAGTCCCAAGTCTCTGGGGTGCGAGGTACAGTTGAGTCTTGAGTTTCTGGGGTGCGAGCCCAAGCTGAGTTTTGTGTCTCTGGGATGTGAGTCCAAGTAGAGATTTGAGTCTTTGGCATGAGAACCTGAGTCTGAGTTTCGAGTCTCTGAGGTGCGGGTCCGAGTCGAGTCTTGAGTCTCTGGAGTTCGAGTCTGAGTTGAGTCTCAAGTCTCTGGAGTTCAAATCTGAGTTGAGTCTCAAGTTTCTGGGGTGCAAGTTCCAGTCAAGTTTTGAGTTTCTAGGGTACAAGCCCAAGTTGAGTCTTGAGTCTCTGGGGTGTAAGTCCAAGTGGAGTTTTAAGTCTCTGGCATGAGAGTCTGACTCTGAGTTTCAAGTCTCTGGGGTGTGAGTCTGGGTCGAATCTCTGGTCTGTGAGTCTAAGTCAAGTCTTAAGTCTCTGGGGTCCAAATCTGATTTGAGTGTCGAGTCTCTGAGATGTGGGTGCAATTATAATCCCATACGTGTCATATATATATGTAAGTACCTCTATATAGTAATATGAAGTGTATTGTAAATATGTAAGTACCTATATAATATATGTCTCACATGTATCATGTATGTAAATATCTATATGTAATTTGCAACCCAATCTTTAAGCCAAACCCTAATCTTAATCTCAGTGACTAAAAAGAAATGGTTTCGCTCATTTGGGTTTAAAAAATGAAACATGGAGCTTTTGTAAAAACCACGTTACAAAGTCAAGTCTCAAGTCTCTGAGGTGCAAGTCCGAATCAAGTCTCTGGCATGTGAGTCTTAGTTGAGTCTCTGGGGTGCAAGTCGGAGTCTTGAGTCTTTGAGGTGTGAGTCCGAGTTGAGTTGGGGGGGGGGTGGTTGGAGGGGCAAGTCCAAATCAAGTCTTGATTCCCTGCGGTCCAAGTCTAAGTTAAGTCCCAAGTCTCTGGGGTGCGAGGTACAGTTGAGTCTTGAGTTTCTGGGGTGCGAGCCCAAGCCGAGTTTTGTGTCTCTGGGATGTGAGTCCAAGTAGAGATTTGAGTCTCTGGCATGAGAACCTGAGTCTGAGTTTCAAGTCTCTGAGGTGCGGGTCCGAGTCGAGTCTTGAGTCTCTGGAGTTCGAGTCTGAGTTGAGTCTCAATTCTATATATGTTATAATAATATGTCTCACATGTATCATGTATGTAAATATCTATATGTAATTTGCAACCCAATCTTTAAGCCAAACCCTAATCTTAATCTCAGTGACTAAAAAGAAATGTTTTTGCTCATTTGGGTTTAAAAAATGAAAAATGGAGCTTTTGTAAAAATCACTTTACAAAGTCAGGACCAATATGTTGGACCTCCAATGTAAGTTAGGCCTGTTTGTCTTTGGGTTTCCTTCAGAGTCAGAACATTTTTTGTCCTGAAAATGTATGAAAACAAACACATGCATGCACATAAACTTTCAGTGTGATATTGACACAACCTCAGTCCCCTCACAGATGCTGTAGACATGGAGCTTCCTGTTTGTCTAGTGGGGGCTTGGCGTTTTCAGAGCTTTGTTACATTAAGCTTTCCTTTTCACAGCCCCCAGGGGTGTAATAAGAAGGTGAAAACCTGGAGAGAGAGAGTGTGTGGGTCTGTACTGGTGGTCAGATGTCTTGTTTGGAAGTGAGCTCCAGTGACCCTATTCATTACACATTCACACATGCATGCAAACATGCACACACATCTCCAAGTCAAGGAGGGGTAGTTAGAATGAGGAGGCTAATTTAATCATTTTGCCTCAGTGGCTAAATCTATCACATGTATAGCATGACTTGGGTTATGTCATTCTCAGGTTTCTGAGAACTTTAATCTTGTACAGTAGCATTACAGCCAGTCTTTTATGGGTTCCTTCCATCTACAACTTGCTGAATGCATTTGTTTCAATTTCATTTTACCACAAACAAATAGTCTAGATTATTTGCTGCTATTGATGCTGTTACATCTGTAGTAGTTCCAAAGAATTCTAATGAACAGGTATATAGTTGTCATGACTGAAGAAGCTAAATCAAACATTTGTTCAAACAGTAGGCCTGTTCAATGTAAACTGCACCTAGCAAGCTAGCTTACAGTGTTTGTAGTGTAATACTGCTTATCAAGTTCTTATCAGTGGCAGTGGGCTTACACCACTCCAGCCAGCACTTTGTTTGCGCATGGTGATCTTAGACCTGTGTGCAGCTGCTTGGGCATAAACCCATTTCATTAAGCTCATATTGCACAGTTATTGTGCTGATGTTGTTTCCAGCTCTATGTTAACATCACTTACAATTGACTGGGGCAGCGGGTCAAAAGTTTCACAAACTGCTCCAAGTGGACTTTTTTGGGTCTTGGCCTTGCCTCGGTCTTGCTCTAATTTGGTCTTAGACTTGACTTAGTCTCAGCCTTCTTTTGACACAGTTTTGACTTGGACTCAACAGTGGTGGTCTTGCCTACAGCACTACTTTAACCCCTTGAACAGAAGGGTCACTACGCATTTATTAATATAAAACATTCTTATTCTATAACTACCTATAGGGAACCTCAAGGCCTTGAAGGCCTTCAGAAAACGTAGTAATTTCTGTAAAAAAAAATGCATGTCTTCTTGTTGTATTTGAACTCTGCACATATTGTAGTACAACTCATTTCATTGTTAAGTTTTGGTTCAAAACAAAAGGGTTAAAATCTCGAAACATCCAGCAGACAATTATCCAATCAGAGTGAGTTTTTTGTGATATCTAGGTAGATATAGCCAAGTGAGCTCCCCCATTGGGCAGGACTTCACTTCAGTTGTCACTATATGCCTTCACTGATTGCTTAGTGTCAGTCACTGTAAAACTGCTACAGGGTAATATATATGTTAATGTCTGTTACAAGCGTCCAATAAAACATGCAGTGCCTTTTACAAGCATTTAATCTAGTATGGCCAAAATAGTTCAAGTGAATCGCCATTAGCTTAACACTAATATACTACTATAATCCTATAGGGGCACTAGCAGAAATTAGCAGAAATAGTATTATTGTAGGGAGATTTTGTTTCTCTTTGTTTTGTTGACCAAGTTCTCAAACCCTCTGATTCCAGCACACGTCTCACATCACTCTGCTTCTCTTTCTCTCTCCCAGAAGTATTTGCCGCAGGGTGGAATCATGAAGGCAGACGGCTCCATGGCTCTGCTGAACCTCTACACATCACCATCCCTGCCCAACCTCACCTTGGGTCTCCACTCTGGACCTTCTCCGATCAGTGTGAGTTCCTCTCAGAGATCATCTCCTGATTGAGAAAGACATTCAATTTGAGTCTCATCAGTGAGAGATGTTCACCAGAGAATCAGCCAATCGGGCACTCAGAGTTTACTGTGAGGGGCTCTCACTCTTAAAAGTAAAGGATTCTAAGTGGTTCTTGGCTTGTTACAGGGAAAAAAACTTGGTGCAGAACATTTTATACTGTGTGGAGGTTCTTTAAACTTTAAGAATGCTCATCACACTCAAACGCGTCTCTTTAATGAATCATGTAAGGTTCTTTTAAGGAATAGTAGATCTTCTTGCTCCAACAAACCCTTTTTGGCACCTGTAATTTTTACAGAAGGGAACCCTTGGGCCCTTCGAGGCCTTCAGAGAATTATCATGCTTGTAGTATTTAAACTCTTCAAGCATTGTAGTGATACTCCAATTTCATTGTTAAGTTCTGGTTGGAAGAAAGGGTTAAATATTGAAATGCCAAAAGGAAAATTATCCAGTTAGGAATCTTTTCTCTGTGATGTCTAGGTATATGTCCACGTAGGTTTTCCCACTGGTTAGGTTATCTGGAGCTGGACTGAAACCTTACAGCATTAGAGTAGTCTCTTTCTGCAGGCCCACTAGTGGCCACTCTGTGTTGAGCTGCTAGTGAGCAATGAAGTGGAGGGGTGAGAACCCTCTGCAGTGAAAAACAATTCACACCTCTCCATAAAGACGGCCCTGCTGAGAAAACACAGCTTCATCAGTTCATCAAAAAACATTGCTTAAGGCTTGAAAAAATCATTTAAACATAGAAAAACTATTAATGTTATAAATTATAAATGTTGTTTTGCTTACCTATGAAGGCAAAAAATCAGTTGACGCATTAAACTTAAACTTGCATGTGCAGAAGTTTAAACGCATGTACATATGACTAACCTTATATAAAAAGTAGACGCTCGCCTGTGTAGTGCAGCTAAGCATGCTGGGTTTAGTTAAGCTGGAAATTAAGATGTTGTGCTGTGGAAAGAGTTTAGCCAGCTGGACATGGGACAAAATGACCACTCGATTAACTTTATGTATTGTTTACATTCTGAATGGTGACCATTGGGAATAATTTTAGTTTGAAAGTTGCTGTAACACTCCTTTGTCAGTCATCTACACAGCAGGGCTATATGACAAGTTCAGTAGCACAAAGAAAGCAGACAGAAGAGCACATTTATAAACTGATTATAAGCATGATTTCCTTTACTAAGCAAACTTTCAAAAGTGAAAGGAAGTCTTTCAGTAACTGTGCAAATCACAACCCAGTTTAGCATCATATGAGAGGCAGCCATCGACTTCTACACAAGGTAAATAACTTTCTGCTCAATTGATGATGTGGACCCGCGACTCAGAAGGATAAGCGGTTTAGTAAATGTGTGTGGATGATGTGGAAACATGTTGGCTTCTTGAGGTAACACTGAGAACTGGGAAATATCTAACTCAGTATAATTCAGCTGAAGAATATAACTTCAGCTATCATGGCCTAGCCCACAGTCCATCAGACTCTCAGTCTTGTCTGTGGCACATGAAGACTATTAGCAGTACCAGAATATACAGACCTCTAATTGGCTATCTGAACTACTAAACACGCCTACTAAACGCTGACTTAAATTAAATACCAGGTTGCCAGGGTAAACACTGAGATGTAATGATTGTACCATGGAGTAAACATTTGTATGGTGTCATCGTTTTTCTGCATCAGATTTTAACATGTGGAGCTTTACATGTGAGAAGTTGACACTCCGAGAATCTCATGTCAGATTTTGACAGTGTAAGCAATTTTCAACATTATTCAATGTTCAATTCAGGGACCTCCTAAAGTTGCATTTTATGGTCTACCATCAAAAGGGTTAAAAGCCAATGATAGGAGCAATTTTATGACAGAAACATCATGCTGTGCCTTCTGGATGGCTCCAACAGGACGTTAAAAAAAAGAATACTTCTGTAAAAAAACAGCCTAACTATTAAAACCAGTGAAGTTAAAAAGTAGTGGTGGCAGGGCAATACCGTTGAATTCAAGACAAAAATTTGTATTTTCTTTAATTTTTTTTTCACATTTATTAGCAAGTGTTGAGAACGATTTTCCATAAAAAGTTACTATTTTGATACAAGGTTTTCGTCTGACACTGTTAACCCTTTAAAATCCCAAGATTATTACATACTAAGGCTTATTATTCAGTAACTACAGGGACTTCAATGCAAATTGGTTGGGCTATTCTTGGGTTATAGAAGCATGTAATAAGACCTTGGGCCTACTGCTGGGCCCTGGCCATTTAAGGGTTTGTGTTTTCCTAGAACGGACAAACAATGTTCATGTGCAACATCATTAGCTTAGTACCAACATAGCAAGAAATTGGGAAATCAGCTAGTGGAATTTAGCATTACTGTAGCAGTGAGTGGTTTTGTTCATTTTTGACATTTATAGCCCTGAACACCACTGACTGAGTCTAACGTTTTCCACCAGTGAATCTGACAACATCAGACATTCCAGTTCATCAGTGAGAGTGAATCAGACAGAGTCCTAACAGTGTGAATTGTTCAGAGTTCTCTCCCACAGTGAATCTGACAACATCAAACATTCAGTGGGCCTTCAGGGTTATTCTCAGAGTTCTCTACCAGAACGAATTGGACACTGTCATATTATCAGAGTCCCACAAGTGCAGAGTATGCTCACTGTCGGACAATCACTGTCGATTACTCTCACTTATCCACTTGAGTGAAACAGACACCATTAGAACAAACATCCCACTTTTCCCTCTACATCCACAATCATCTTAATCTCGATAGGATCAGGACATATCCATAAACAGAACTCCTGCTCCGAGAGGTTTCTGAACACTGGCCTCAGTCTGGACCGGCAGCAGATATGAATAGAGCCTCTTAGAAAAACACGAGGTATCTGAAACAGTATTTTTAGGAGTAAGTGAGCCATCGGGCCCCTTCTATTCTAGGAGAAAGCAAGAAATACCGTATGAGGAATTCTGCTCGTGGAGCGGCAGACAGATATGAACAGAATCCTCCTTGGAGAGAGGACTGCAGTCACACGACTCCTTTTAGAGCACGCAAGGTGAACGAGACTGTTGAGAGACAGTCTTATTTTGGAGAGAGAGAGAGAGAGAGAGAGAGAGAGAGAGAGAGAGAGAGGAAGAGAGCAAATGGGAGAGGGATAGAGAGATGAAAAGAGAAAGGAAGGGAAAGAGAACAAGAGAGAGAAAAGGTAGAAGGTTAGAGAGAAAGAGACAGTAAGAGAGAGAAAGAGAGAGAGACAGAGAGAGAGAGAGAGAGGAAGAGAGCAAATGAGAGAGGGATAGAGAGATGAAAAGAGAAAGGAAGGGAAAGAAAACAAGAAAGAGAAAAGGTAGAAGGTTAGAGAGAGAGAGAGAGAGAGAGAGAGAGGGAGAGAGAGAGAGGAAGAGAGCAAATGGGAGAGGGATAGAGAGATGAAAAGAGAAAGGAAGAGAAAGAGAACAAGAGAGAGAAAAGGTAGAAGGTTAGAGAGAAAGACACAGTAAGAGAGAGAAAGAGAGAAAGACAGAGAGAGAGAGAGAGGAAGAGAGCAAATGAGAGAGGGATAGAGAGATGAAAAGAGAAAGGAAGAGAAAGAGAACAAGAGAGAAAAGGTAGAAGGTTAGAGAGAAAGAGACAGTGAGAGAGTGATAGAGAGATAAAAAGAGAAAGAAAACAAAAGAGAACAAGAGAGAGAAAAGGTACAAGGTTAGAGAGAAAAAGACAGTGAGAGAAAGAGAGAGAGAAAGAAACAGACAGGAAGAGAGCAAATGAGAGAAGGATAGAGAGATGAAAAGAGAAAGGAAGGGAAAGAGAACAAGAGAGAGAAAAGGTGGAAAGAAAAAGAGACAGTGAGACAGAGAGAGAGAGAGAGAACAAGAAAGAGAATGGACAAAGACCAGAGAAAGAGAGAACTAGAGAGGAGGAAAGGAAAGAATTAGAGAGTGAGCAAAGGATAGAGAGAGAGAAAGAAAGAAAGGGAGCAAAGGACAGAAAGAGAGAGAGAGAGGAGAGGGAGAGATAAAAAAGAGAGATTTAGACAGTGAGCAAAGGATAGAGAGAGACAGATTGATAGAGATGAGGTATTGCAAACAGTTTCCTCCTTCTCTCCAGCTCTCTGGATTAATGCCCAGCCGTGGGGGGCTTTGACCTTTGACCTAAAGGCTCTCCAGCTCTTGTGTAAATAGGGAGTGTGAGTTTTGGGTTTCAGGGTGTGCTCTTTATCGCCTCGTTCATCACAGCATGGTAAAAACGGAGAGAAACCAGGTTTACTGCCCCTCGTAACACTGTATTTCAGGATAGAGGATTGTTATGCGGCTCGCTTGTGTGCGTTGAATACCTTTGTGCTGCTTTCAGGATTTCACGGCAGGAAAACAATGTTTTGACTAAACTGGGTGCAATGGGAGTATTTTTGTAGCAACAGCATTTTAATTTAAGCAATAAGCCACTAGAGACTGTGTGTTAGTGTGATTTTTTTTCAGGGGTGAGAGGTGTTGTTAGGCATTATGTAAAGTGGAGTAAAACATTGTGAAACTCAGCCGCAAGAGGCCCATTGTCAATACATATTTTGAGCTGTTATTAATAATAATCGCAATAAACGATGTAGTTTAAAGGAAATGTAGTTTGTAGAGTAGGCTTTTGTTGCCAAGCAACCATGACCTGCTAAAGGGAAACAAGAACTGTTCGGTCATCCATTATTAGTCATGTTTACGTGCAGCCTGAGAATCCAATGTGTCCATGTATACACCTCATTCAGTATAGACTTGTCCGATTGAGGCAATTGAACGAGGTGGATAATCCTGTAAATAATTCATTAAATAGAACAATAATAACCGTGTAAACGCCTGAATCTGATTACGTTCCCAATCGCAAAGTTTAAGTACGTTCTGCTCATGTTCGTCACGTCATAGTGAAAGTTTATAACGTTCAACATGGCGGAGCAGAAACTGGTCTGCAGAGGAGACAAAGTTTATGCTCTGATCTTTAAAAGACGGCGGTGGGACGGGCGTCCAGCTTATGTGTCTCAGAACACGACGTCTTCCTCTCGGCCTTCTTTAATAAGGACATGAGTATGTTTTCCTGAGTCTGACATCATTTTAAAGGAATTAAAAACACAGGCGCTGCTCACAGCTGCTCGTCTCACTCTGACTGGACTCACGTGATGCTGGTTGTCATGGTAACGTCTACGTTAAGCGGTTCTCTACGCATGCACATAATTGTGTACCGCAGTCATTTCATAAACTATTTTTTTTTATTTAATGCAGAAACTTTGCCTTAAAAGTACTTTTTGCTGACCTAATTACCACCACTAGCATCTCTATGGCATTACCCTGCTGTGTTAGCATCAAGCTAAGTGAGCCACACATTCATTTTTAAAACTTTTACAGCTGATCACAGACATTTGAAGCATACAAGACATTCAAAAACATATTCCTTATGCATTGCAGTTTTACACCGAATCATTCAGTAAATATTGTTAGCCTGTATCTTTGTTTAGCCTGCAATATTTTAGCCTTGTTATTTAGAATAATAGCTGCTCAGTTTCAACTAAACCAAATTCTTATGTCATCTATCGTACTTCATCCGGTCCTTAGAAGCAGCATAATAGTCCATTCTCAGCACAATAACTTGGAGCATTAATACAGAATTTAATTATGGTCATAGGTGTTTGTATATCAAGTAAAATGTCAAACGTGGCACATCCAATTAGACCAGAACTATCCGTTTTATAAAGCATTTTTTTGGTGATTAAATTGCTCAAATATAAGCCAGCAGGTTGCCCGTTTGTCATGACATAGTAATAATCTGTGCAGTACACCTGTAACTTGAACCTCTCCGTGAGTCAGTGGAATGAAGCCAAGTTTCTCAGTATTGCACAAGAGCTTAGAAAACCTCTTTATCTTCCTGTGCGTGACCTCTTTCTCTCTCTCTATCTCTCTCTGCTCTACTCTGCAGTCTGCCACGTCTTTAAAGGGGCATGCAGGAGAGGTGGTGGCCGGGCAGCCTGTTGGTGGGGTGCCAGCTGTCTGCCGCGAGGCGAAAGTCAACAGCAGCCACCAGGCCCTGCTGCAGCACCTGCTGCTGAAGGAGCAGAACAGACAGCAGAAGATGCTCTCGCCCGGTACGTGACTCAGCGCTCGCCATCACACCACCAGATTGTCAGGGAACTGCAGGGAGTCTTTGTATGGAAAAAACAGTGGACACTGTCTTTACCACTCATTAATCTGGCTTACATTTCTCACGGGTGATCCTTTCAGAGTCTTTGTCGTTAAAATCTGCCACCAGAGTAGTTGGTGAGCATGCATTTCCATGTTGGTGATAGAAAAATGGATCAGTATGTGGAATTGGAGCTTTTTTGAATGCTACAGTGCTGCCTTTATCGTTGCAGGCACTGTGATCTGAGCGACTGTGTGCACATGATCAATAAGCGCTTGTGATTGTGTATTGAGGAGAGTTTGCACTGCATTCTCCAAACGCATCAAGCAGTTTAGTAGTACATTTACATTTATGGCATTTGGCAGACACTCTTCTCTAGAGCCACTTACAATTTGATCATTTTACACAGGTAGGCAAAGGCAGTGTTAGGAGTCTTGCCCAGGGACTCTTATTGGTATAGTGTAGGGTGCTTACCCAGGCAGGGGACTAAACCCCAGTCTATAGGGTAGAAGGCAGAGGTGTTACCCACTACACTACACCAACCACTAGTAGTAGACTCATTGCTGTTATGTCTGCCGTTGGGACGTTGCACAAAGTGCACACAGGGATGTCAGTAGTAGTGACGTGGTTTTGTTTAAAAGAAATATCTTTTGAGAATGATTCTTGTTTTCTTTTACTAAAGGTTCTCATTTTTTGCATGAGATTTAGCAAATTACCCAAAAAGACCTTTTGTACCCATCCTTTCCGAGGGTGCCAATAATTATGGAGCAGCCTGTATTTCTATCACAAACTGTCTTTTTGAAAAAGAAAACATATGAATAGAAATATATGTCACACTTTAGTGGCCGTTTATCATTGCTCGGATTAAAGAAATAAACAATAGTAATTTCTATAGTGATCTGAATTCCGTTTTGAATGTGTGCGCACTAAAATTGTCACAGTGCATCCAACAATTAAGGCAGCATGGAGCTTTTTTACACAGTGACACAGGAAAGACAGCAGCACACAGAAAGCTCCAGTTCCACATGCTGATCCATTTTACTGACCAACGTGGACATGCATGCATATCAGCTGCTCTGGGGGTAGATTTTGATTATACCCCCATTTTAGATAGATGGGGGTAGAGTTAACCCATTAAAGTCCCAGACTTATTACATACTAAGCCTTATCATTTAGTCACTATAAGAACTTTAATGCATACTGGTTGAGCTATTTTTAGGTTATATAATTGTGTAATACTTTGGGCCCAGGCTATTTAAGTGGTTAAAGGTGACAAAGACAAAGGCCCAATCCCATTTCTTATTTTTACCTCTACCTCTTGTTATCGAGTGTCACCTTGCCCCTTGTTGCTGAGTTACAAGGAGTAGTGGTTGAAATCTTCCCCTTCAAAATGGGACAACCTTTCAGCAACGTCGCTGCTGGTCTTTGGTTAAATTTAGGGAATCATATTCCTTTCAAATGGTGTGGGGGTATTTTCTTCAATAAAAAATTACGATAACCACTATATTATCTTAGTTTAATGTTGTTTCGGTGTATTCTGGTTGGTACGGTTCTTTTTTCTATAATAATTTCCCATTCCACCTTAAATGGTTTCATTTAAGTTTAATTAACCGAGACATCGGCAGACTGCTAGTGGATTTTTTATGCTTGTTATGAGGAAAAGGACCATAACACATCAAAACAAACACATCAACAAACTAAGATAATACAACAGTTACTGTCATTGTTAACAGTGAAAATACTCACAATTTTTTGGTCTCTCGCGCAGCCATCTTGCCAATTTTTCTGTTTTTAGTCATAACACTCTGTTTGGAGTGAGTCTCTGAAAAATGTCTGTTTGGAGGGCCATGTAGCCCTAACACTTCGCCCTCCCCCTCTATCTCAACTAAAATCGGGACACCCTACCCCTTGAGACGAATGCGCGAAACGAAGGGGTGAGGGCTAAGTGGTAGGGGTGAGGGCTGAAATGGAATTGGGCCAAAGTCTCTGAATGTGTCACCAGCAAGATGTTAGGTTTGGTAGGGTTACTGTTATCTCTGGCTTTGCACCAACACAGTTGTTGAGATGATTAAACCTTTTCTCTTTTTCTCTCTCCATCTCTCTGCCTGGTCTCAGGTAGTGTCTCTGTGCTGCCCCAGTCTCCCCTAGTGATGAAGGAGCGGTCAGGAGGAGGTGCTCGCTCCAGGTTGCCGCGGCACCGCCCTCTGAACCGGACACAGTCGGCGCCGCTGCCCCAGAGCACGCTGGCCCAGCTAGTCCTTCAGCAGCAGCACCACAACTTTGTGGAGAAGCAGAAGCAGTACCACCAGCAGGTCCACATCAACCAGGTACATTAGACACAGCAAGCCTCGCTGTACTACTGAAACGGGGGTGTCAAACTCAAGGCTTGAAAGGCAACAGCTCTGTGCTAATTAGTAATTAAAGTGATAGTTCATCAACAAAGCAAATGTGCAGAGTTTTCCCCACTTACACCAAATGTAGCCGATCAACCAAGGTGTTTAGTGTGAACGTTTGCTGAAGTGTGTAGATTTGAGGCTAATGTACAGGAAGCATTACTTCCCAATTAGCATCATGCAAACTGGATGCAAATGGGGTGAGTAGAGGAGGGGTTTAAAGTTTATGTCTTTTTTTCTATAGTTACCATTGGACTGTTTTTGTGCGCTGCGCACCGTGCCCTTTATGTGCAGAATGCTCCAGTCTCAGAATTCACGTCTTAAATCTTTCTCTTTGCTTTTTTGTTAGCTATTAACTAGACAAGATTGTTATCTGCGTTGCTATGTGACCAGAAGTCTCTGTGATCTTCAGGGTCAAAGGGTGAATTAGCATTAATGCATTAACTCCAGCGTTTAAGACCATTTGTTGTTAAAAATGTATTAGAACGATCAGCAGAGCTTTATTTTACTGCAAAGGAGGATTATTTTATTTTTCCCTAAAAAATCAAATTGTGTGGCAACAGGGCAGTAAAAGAGCTGCATGTGGCTCCAGAGGCGCATGTTGCCGACCCCTGCTCTAGACACTACTGTGACACCGCTGCAGGATGTGAGTAGATAGATAGATAGATAGATAGATAGACAGACAGATAGATAGATAGACAGACAGATAGATAGATAGACAAATAGACAAATAGACATAGATAGACAGATAGATAGATAGATAGACAGATAGATAGATAGATAGACAGACAGATACATAGATAGACAAATAGACAAATAGACATAGATAGACAGATAGATAGATAGATAGATAGACAGATAGATAGATAGACTGATAGATAGACAGATAGACAGATAGATAGATGGATAGATAGACTGATAGATAGATGGATAGATAGATCCCAGAGGGAAAGTCGTCCATTGCAGCGGTACAAAGCACAGTAAAGAGCAAAACGAGCAAAATGAACAGGAGCAAAGTATTGTCGTACACTATATACAGAGAAATAAAAAGAAAATTCAGATTAATAATAGAATAAAATATACTAAAACAATAAACAATACGAGTAATGTGCAGTACAAAAATACAAAGTTATTGCATGAATACTATGCAGGAGACAATGCAGAGTTGCAGTGCAATATGAGATACGATAAACAAAATAAACAAAGTGGCAGTGCAATATGAGATACGATAAACAAAATAAACAAAGTGGCAGTGCAATATGAGATACGATGAACAAAATAAACAAAGTGGCAGTGCAATATGAGATACGATGAACAAAATAAACAAAGTGGCAGTGCAATATGAGATACGATGAACAAAATAAACAAAGTGGCAGTGCAATATGAGATATAATAAACAAAATAAACAAAGTGGCAGTGCAATATGAGATATAATAAACAAAATAAACAAAGTTGCAGTGCAATATGAGTGGCTCAGTGTCCAATAATGTCCCGGCACAGTGACGAGGTGTTGTACAGTGCGATCTGTGTACTGTGGGTACAAACAATCTACTGTACTGTTCCTTGCTATGAGTCTTTTGCTAAAGGTGCTCCGCTGTCTGTCTTGATCAGTAGGCATGATGTGGCGATGGTTACATTTTTTATTTTGGCCGCTCCACTTTAACTTTCTCTAATGCATTTCATGAATAGCATCAGAGTGAAATGATGAGTTAAATCATGTTTAATGGGGTAGAATGCTAAACTCTCCAGGCTGACACCTCTGCTCTACACCACGAGTCAAGTTTCGGCAGTTTTATAGAGGTGTTAATAAGGCAGGCCCAGTGCCTGTAGGTTGATCTCTTTAGTGAAAGAGAGCGATAGGTCCCTGATAGACATCATGTGTGATGTGAATGTAGAATGCAGGATTATACATAATCCAGATTGCAGGGTTTAAGCGGTCTCTGAGCTGCTGACCAGGTCTGATCCTGTACTCGTCTGTGCGTGTTTGGTGGGGGGGGTTGCTGAGTGGGAGTTAACGAGTGCTGTGGTTGGTGGTGTGGAGCTGCAGCTCCTGATGGCCTTTTATAAGAGCTCAGGGCTCTTAAAGGGACGGCATATTAAAAGCCCCTTGCTGCTGCCTGGACGGAACAGGAAGTGGGCAAATCCCAGCAGGATGTTTACACTGGGGCCGCACTGCCAGGGCCTCAACTCTTTCTTTTTACCCCTCTCTCTCTCCCTCTCTCTCTCTCTCTCTCTCCCTCTCTCTCACACACACACACACACACTCTTTCTCTGTCTCTGTTTTCTCTTGATTTTCTGTCCTCGTTTTATTTCTTGTTGCTCTTTTGTTTTCTTGTTCACTCTCTGTTCCTCTACTCTTTATTTCTCTTTTGATTCTCTTTCTTAGTTTGTCTTGTCTCTTCTTCTTTTACCCTCTCCCTGTCTGTCTCTCTTTCCCTCTCTCTCTCCCTCTTCTCTGCAGTTCTCTTTCTCTTTCTCTATCTATCTATCTATCTATCTATCTATCTATCTATCTATCTATCTATCTATCTATCTATCTATCTATCTCCCCTTCGTTTTCTGTCTCTTTCTTTCTTTGGCTTTCTTTGATGGGCCTGATATTTGATCACATTCTCCTGAAGGCCTGATCTCTCAGTGCCTGTGTTCTTTCTTTTCTTTCTCTTTTCTTCTTGTACTTTTCTTCATTCACTTTGTCTTTGTCTAAGTTGGCTCTTTTACTCATGTATATCTCCACCCATCAGGTTTAAACCCCCCCACCCCACACTCTCTCTCTAATCCCTGGATTTTGAGACTTTTACCTCAGTTTCATTTCCTGAAGGCCTGAGAGAGGAGCTGGCTGGCACCAGTGTGTGCGGCTAAAGTCTACATGTGAAATTTACCCACTTTATATCTTTCTACGCAGATGTTTTCAGCATCTCTCGGTGGTATAATTTTACCAGTTATTGCTGGCTGACTGCAGCCTGATTGGGTGGCCTGAAAGCTGAAGACTTCCATTATGGTTCTCGGTCAAATGTAACAGGAGAATTTAGAAGAAGATAATGAACTTAATGTCAGAATCATTCACAGAGGCCACATCATCAACCAAATCTGCTGCACTCCAGCTCATTCATATTACTGAAAGATTCACAGAGACATCAAGGGCAGGCGGATGTGGAATTCACATTCAAATGCTGTTTATAAATGCTGAAGCAATCATGTGTTTGCATCAGCATGTCCAAGAGTTTGCATGTAATTTGAGACATAGATCAAATTCAGCTGTGAAATGTGTGAAATAATAATGAAAACAGCTGCCCAATAATGTCTGTATTGTGCTAGGGCTGACTGATATGAAACTACAAATATTATGGGACTAAAAATTCCGATAATCAGCGATATTGCACAATATAATTTAATATTACTTTTTTTAGATTTAAATTTTATGCTCCAGTTTTAGTTTAGTTGAAATATGAAATATGAGTCTCTTCTCAACAGTTTTTTTTTTTAAATAAAAAGCAGAAACTTACATTCTTAAATAATGTAGATCAAATCAAAGCACATTTATTGTCACATCACATTTACACAGGTGTGAAGACGAGTGAAAATCGTAGGTGCGTAGCCCGCTTGTAGTACTTATACAAAATTATATAAGAAAAAATATATATATACACACATTATAGTCTACAGTTTATAGTTTTAGTCTATAAACTATAATATGTACAGTTGTTATGTACACATTTTCATATATGCAATTTGTGAATATATATATATATATATATATATATATATATATATATTCCAGATTATACAAGATATGGATGAAAGATGTACAAGACGTCAATCTATATGCACAGGCACAGATTTGCTATGTGCTGTGGATTGTCCGTGGAGATATTGTAGATATTATAGATATTGTAGGACTGGGGGGCGGAGCTATCCAGCATTCTTTGTAATCTTGTTTTTTTGTTAATTACCTCTTGTTTTTCTTATTTTTAATCAGTTCTCTTCATAGAAAAGTGTTTTATGTGTGCATGTTTGTTATAACGTTATTTCTTTAAAACCATAAGCTGTTAATATCAGTGTTATTGACCGATACAGTACTCTGAAAAAGTCAGCAACCACCCTTAATTCATTTCATTTTCCAGTCAAAATGACCATTATGCACAAGTTATTTTCCCAAGATGTCTGCAGGGATATTTTTCCACACTTCAGAAGTTCAGTATTAGAAGTTTGTTGCACGTTTTCTGCTTCTCATAATCCAAGTAATCACATTCAATGATGTTGAGCTCTGGGCACTGAGCATGTCTGTCAGTCAGTGGTGCTAATTCAGTTGGCAGGATAAAACAGTACAAAAGAAGGAGAGGCAGAAAGAAAGTGATGAAGATGTTTTCTCTTTGTCTCCTGTACTGGCTCACCTGGTTCGCCTTCTCTTCTCAGATGCTGTCTCAGTCCATCGAGCAGCTGCGGAACCCCACCGCCTACCTGGAGGAGGACGAGGAAGGAGCGTCGGGGCAGGAGCTCACACTGCCCCCTGCTGGAGTCATCCGCACTCACAGCAGCAGCCGATTAGAGAACGGCACGCAGACGGAGGCCCCTCCAGCCCAGGTGGGGGTGATCAGAGTAAAGGAAGAGCCGCTGGAGTCTGAGAGCAGGATGGAGGAAGGAAGCAGAGGGGACGGAGGAGCAGTGAGAAGGAGGGATGAGGGGAAGAAAGCAAGTGAAGAGCAGCTGAAAGATGCTGCACTGCTGCAGGTCAAGACTGAACAACGTGTAGAGAGCATGACAGAGACTGACGTGTGAGGTAGAGAGAGTAACAGAGCGAGAGAGAAAGAGAGAGAGAGAGAGTAATAAGGAAGGAGAAAGGAAAAGGGTGGAATAAACGGGAAAGAGAGAAAGACAGAGTTACAACAACATTCTAATGATACAAGAATGAACTGGACGTTATAAACAAGGTTAAGTGAAAGAAGAACACCTTTTTGGCCCAGTGTTGTCTCAATGTCTTTGCTTTCTTCTCTTTTTTTAACTCCTTCCTTTCTTTCTCTCCTTTATCTAGAGATGAAGAGGGCATGGGTCCTAAAGCTATGCTGATATAAAGGGATAGTTCAGTGAAAAAAGCAAATTTACACAATTAATCTAGTCAATCAGCCGAGACATTTTTAGTGTCTGATGTTTGCTTTTTTAGTTTTGCACTGGAGTGATGAGGCTAATGTGGCTACAAAGTAATGACAGTCAGTTTTGATTTTTGATTCAGAAGATATTTCAGAAGCTTTTTGTTGGAAGATGGAAAACAAATGATAAAATTGATGGTTAACATGAAAGGGACATAAACTAACAAGCTAAAACGGTCAATATTGACTTTTAAAACATATGCTAGGGACTTTTAGTTTGAAATTAACATATTCGAATGAGAAGTTGTTTCATAGCTCAATAGTGACCCGGTCACTAAATTAAGGGAAAAGCAAATTATTATTTCCCTTTAATGATTAAACAAAGCTAAATAAACAGCCTGACTATCATCAACTGAAGCTCAATACAGTAAAACTGCACTATTTACATGCATGAGGCCAGATAAGTTACGTTTCACTGGCCACAGACACAAAACAATAAGTTTTAGTGAAGAATGTTTTCCTGAAGCCCTGAAAGACCCCTATGCCTCCAGACTGTAGTCTGTCTTGGCTTGTGTGCAAAATAATTATCTTTTTTATGACCATTCATCAAGAGCTTCACTCTTGGGTGCACCTCTCGGGTGCACTACTGTCCGCCTATAGGGATTTCACCTCCGTAACTCTGACATGTTTTAGATGCATGCACTAACACCATGATAATCTCTTTAAGAACATGTCACATTGCATAATATGGTTATTAAATAAAAAAAATGCAGCAAGGGATGCTAGTAACTATTAACTAATAACAGGGCTCTTAAATAAAGTAATATATCTGAGGTTTATAGCTGTTGGATACCATAGTGGGTAACAGTACACTTTGTATGTTGGAGATTAGAGTTCAAATCCCTGAATGGTTGAGTATTTTTGGGGAAAAAAGCTTTTAGCACTAGGTTTAATTTGCTCTGAAACATGATTACAGCGCCTCTCCTGATAAGAGTCATTTAATCCCCAAATGTCTGCATCAATTCATAGATAACATAGATTTATTATCAGTGTTATTGATGGTGTTGATTCATTGTAGGCCTATTGTGAACTGCATGTTGCTCCAGTGCAAAACTGTAAAATTGTGTGCGTTTGATTTTTGACCAAACTATCACTTTAACTGTAACCGTCAGGTTGTGACAGTCCCCTGTGACCTTTGCTCTACCTGATACTCTTCTCTCTCTCTCGGACACAGAGCAGCGACACTGACACATGCATCACTATCATCCACAGATTAGTGCGGTTGTTCTCTCCCTCCATTGCCTACTTTTCTGTGTATATTGTTGCGTGTAATATAGAAAAGCTATGACCACCAAGATATTACTTTCACTAGGATACCACAGAGACAAAACCAGCCGTAGTCCAGCTGCAGATGGACGCTCACTGAAGACTTTCCACCTCGTCTCCTTGCGTGATAACTCTTGATAGCGAGCTTTTCGGGTGTTTGTTTAAATGTACATATTCTGTATGAACAGGGACTGAGAAGGTTGTTCGATTGTTTTCATTTCTTCCCGTTTTACGGATCTTAATGTAGTCCAACTGTGATGTCACGTGCATTCTGCCAAGCACATTTGCCTTCACGTACAGTGCTGTGAAAAAGTATTTGCCCCCGCTGATGTCCTGTATTTTTGTACGCACTAAATGGTTTCCGATTCGCACACGAAATGGGATAAAAGACAAGAGGCACACGAGGAAACACAAAACAAGGTTTTTAAAGGGTCATCTGATTTAAAGTGTACCTTTTTCGGCAGTGTGAAAAAGTAATCACTCCCCCCCCCCCAAGCTCAGGAACTGGTTGTGCCTCCTTTATCATCAACAGACACTTCGCTGCGAAGGAATATTGCCTTTATTTAGCCACATTGGAGGGTTTCTTTAAACGATTTTTAGATTCAAACTGAGCTTGCAGTAATCAACCCTGGGTGTGTCTAGTTTATTTGTTCCCAGACATCAACTAAATTTGATTGAGAGGTTAGTAACTAAGGGGGCGATTACTTTTTCACACAGAGCCAGCTGGTGTTGGATAAATAAATAAATGAAACGATCATTTAATAACTGTGTTTTGTGTTTACTCAGGTTATCCTTGTTATAACCCCTTTAAATCCCAGGCTTATTACATACTAAGGCTTGTTATTTAGTAACTACAGAGACTTCAATGCAAACTGGCTGAGCTATTCCTGGATTATAAATGTTGGGCCTGCCGGCGGGCCCTGGCCATGTAAGGGGTTTATATTAAATTTAGTCCCAAGATCTGAAACACTGAAGTGTATGCAAAAGGAAGGAATCAGAACGGGGCAAATACTTTTTCACAGCACTGTATGCAGTCAAACTACTAGTTCACCTGACAATAAAGTAATCCAAGCCGTTTTTTCCTGTTTCTCACATTTCCTAATCACTAGTGATTCAACATAAGTAAAGAGAGCGATTGGCGTTCTGGCTGCAGGTGTGCAGTTGCTGCGTTTGATCTAATCTAGACACTGGGACTGTTGTTGAAAACGAACATTTACTGTTTATTTTAAAATATAATTAAACTGATTTCATCCATCAAATGATTGGTGTGAACAACATGTGTGAAACATATGAGGGAGTGATGTATAGCCCAAGTCGCTGGATTAAAAGGATGGTTTGGCTTTTTTTTTTTCAACCGAACATTGATTTCCGAAACGCTGGCATTCATTAGAGACTGTACTCAGCAAAATGTTACAACTGCAAATCCCAGCCTAAAATTGCCTGACTTCTTACATATGTTCACATCAGTCAGGCAGTTTTCCAAGTGTTTCATTCAGCACCTATTAATAATATAAAGCCAGTTTTGTTGCAGATATGTACAAAATGATTCTAATGCAGTGCTAATATTGTAAATGAACAGAGCTGTGGATGATTTCCTAAAAAACGATAAAGTTTTAGACCATTGAGGAAGTGCTTTTATTGAAATTAATATCCAGAATGCAACCCCATCCCCCTCTCCTGCACTGTGACATAATCAAAAATCAGAAGATGTTTTAGGAACATTTTGATGGAAGATTTCAGGAAAACAAGTGTACCTTTTAAATGATATAATTCTTGCTTAATAAGACAAAGGACATAAACTAACAAGGGTCAATTTTGTCTTTTAAAACATATACTGGGGACTTTTAATTTGAAATTAGCATATTAGCTGAGCCTTCCATTGCATTCTGTGACAAGTTGCATTGTTTCATAGCTTGATACTGTCCTGGTCACTAAAATAAAGGACTATGATTTGCAACAGTGACCCACTAATATGAACAGTTGACATTTAGTTTGAAAGTTCTTGACCATTCTTTTAATCTCTTAGTGGACTTGGGTTGTGGACAGAGAGAAAAGATGCTGTTACCTTGTGCTCTTTGTTTAGCCTCGTGTTGTATGTTTGTTCACTTATCTTTTCTAACAAAATAAAGGTCCCTTCTGTGCATTGACATACAGCTCAACTCTTCATCATGTCAAAGTGTCTGCTAATTACATTTATGTAAAAAAACAGTTTATGTGATGGAATAGTGGGTGTGGAGGTAGATGTTTGGTCTGCAGGTGGTCTTTGTTATTTCACATAAATTGGTAGAGTGGTCTTCTCTTTGCGTGTGCAGCTGGCCGGGCTGATCCCTCTAGGAGGCATAAACCAGTGTAAATCTGGGATATCACTTGCTGATCTTGCTTACAGTACGGTAGTGCATTATGGACCTGTCAGACATGGACATAACGTCTGATAGCCAGTGGAACAGTACATTACAGGACTTTATGATAGATCTCTGCTTGGACATTAACTACCCCAGTGTCACTCTTACTGTAAGAAGAGATTTAGTCAGAATTAGGTACAGTTATTAAAGCTACAATATGTGAGTTTTGAGAATTTGGAGACCTCTCTGGTGGAAATATGTAATTGCATGCAACATGTGGAAGAACATTTTGTGGGCTGTACTTCAGCCCCCTTCCCCAAGCAGATGAATCTGAGAATTGTGAGCTTGTTCAAAGAGTATTCAAAGAGAACTCAGCCATGACTTGGTGAAGAACGTGTCTTCCAGGGATGTGAGTTAATTACGTACTGTTGTCATCTTCATCAGTATAATTTTGATTTTGCATTTAAGACCCAAACATCGAGACAAACCTTTTTGAGCTTGCACATGTGATATTAATATTTAAAGATGTATTATGGGGTCTGAAAATCCAACCAAACGCTGATAATTTCAGGCTTTACAAGCCGAGTCGCAGCGGCACATGCACACTGTATTTCAGCCTATTTTGTTTTCTTTTGACCCAGTAATGCTTCTTATTTCAATTTTCACAAAGTATACAAAAAAAGTTTTACACAATCTTACATAGTGTTGCTTTAACTAATTTTCAATTCATATGAGCTCATATTATAATGTTAAATAAAATCCAAAAATCATTTTAATAATGTAATAAATACATCCATGCAATTAAATGCGTAGAAGTGCATAGAAAAACATGCACAATATGTGTCACCCTTGATTTACTTGATTTCCAGTCAGAACAGCAAGTACAGCAAAATATTAAGTATAAGTTGTTCACGTTTCAGGAGATATTTCTGTGGAGATTAGATGTAAAATAATACACTTGCATAATGAAGATGGAAGCCAAATGAAAATAATAAAAAAAAAACAGGAGTTGACCAAAACTGGAGTTTTTAAACACTGTGTCCACTCACTGTCCACACTATTAGACACTCCTACCTTGTCAGTCCACCTTGTAGATGTAAAGTCAGAGATGATAGCTCATCTGCTACTGCTCAGTTTGTGTTGGTCATCCTCTAGTCCTTCATCAGTGGTCACAGGATGCTGTTGGCTGGATATTTTTGGTTGGTGGACTATTCTCAGTCCAGCAGTGACACTAAGGGGTTTAAAAACTCCAGCAGCACTGCTGTGTCTGATCCACTCGTACCACCGCAACACACACTAACACACCACCACCACATCAGTGTTACTGCAGTGCTGAGAATAATCCACCACCCAAATAGTACCTGCTCTGTGAGGGTCCATGGGGGTCCTGACCACTGAAGAACAGGGTAAAAGGGGGCTAACAAAGTATGCAGAGAAACAGATGGACTACAGTCTGTAATTGTAGAACTACAAAGTGCACCTATATAGTAAGTGGAGCTGATAAAACGGACAATGAGTGTAGAAACAAGGAGGTGGTCATAATGTTATGCCTGATTGGTGTATATAGAAATAAAATAAATGTAAACATCCATTAAAAACTTTGGAGTTGTTAATCATCTGTTATTTTATTCAATTAAAACTTATGAAATATAGAGTAAAGTACTATAGGCTGGTTACCAAAATAAAATATTTAATGTAGTATTTCAGTTTTTTAGAGATATGTGCATTTATCTACAATTCCTTGATGAATGATATTACTTAAAAATAGTAATTCCAAACTTAGAACAGTACTATAAATTTCGCAGCTGATGTAAGAGCTATGTGCTACCTGCTTTGGCTGCATTCCTCCAGCATAGATTTGAACAATAACAAGAAGAAAAGCTTTAGGTCTTAGGTCGTGTTTACACTGATATTAAAGTTTATAAATAAAAGCTGTTTCTACAGCTTAGCTCTTAAACCACTCAAACTCAGCTTATTACACATTGCTGGGTGGGGGCTGGGGGCTTTGTCCATGTAAACACAAGGCCCCATGGCCACCAAGCGTCATGATGTAGAAATGCTGACCCTGGATCAGTTGCCTTTGCCCCTAAAGTGGTGGTGAAGGTATGGTGGAGAGTGTGGGAACCCTGATCCTGGACCGGTTCTGTGTATTGTTCATGATTATGTGCCAGGGAACGAGCGTGTAAGGTCCAGCCCTGAGCCCGGCTTTAGTTTTGACCTTTTTCCCTCGCCCTACGCCACTGCTGGCACTTTTTCCCACAACCCCTCGCGTCTCAGAGTTTCACCGGTGAACATTAAGTTAACCCCCTGTGCTTTGCCAGGGCTCAGGGATCAGGTTAACCCTTTGAAGTATGGCTTAGCACGCTCCGGCATCTCCCCGGCTGTTAACAGGGGAATGTGCCCAGCGCAGATATACGATTGCCAGATCACAGACCACGGAGGCCATCTGATACGTGATTGCGAGTGGACGCCAGGGAGCCCTTTGCAAAGTCCCGTTCTGAGTAAAAACGTTACTCTGTCCTGTACCTGAAACGGGATATTGCTATGGTTTGTTCAGGGCTGGTTGTACCACATCACCACTAACATTTCCTACCCACTGATCAATGGATAGTACTGACAAATACTTTGCTCAAAGATCTAAAAATGTCACATATCTTTCTCAAAAAGGGGTTTTTATTCCTTTAAAGCGAAAGTTTGGTGAAAAATGAAATTTATGAGCATTTTCTTACCTCAAATACAGTCAATTATTTTTTGTACTGGAGTTGTGAGGCTAATTTAGCGAACAAGTAATGGAGTTGTTTGGTAGCTTATCACAAAATAACTTGCTAATAGAATAGATATGGACAAACATACATTACCTAGCTAAAAGCAGTATTAATGGAAATCTTGACTGAGCTTGTTTATAGATAACAGTATATGATACAGCACTAGAAAAGCAAGTCTATTTGAGATTAAGATTAACCTTCTATTGCACGATGTTGCCTGAGGACAACAAACTCATTTTCCTCACTTTGCGATAACATTATACATATTTAAAGACAAAAATAGGGTTAACAATAAAGGGCAGAGTTTGAGTAAGGGTTAGTCAATAAAAAGCATGTACTTGGTCATACTATGTCTTAGTGAGTACTTTTAAACTTCTTTTTTAACATTCAATATCATTTTTTTTTGTTATGAGAATTTGCAGAAATATATGTGTTGCCTAGAAGCAATATTTTTCAACTGCGGAATGGATTTAGCCAGGTCTCACCACTTCACGGAGCACAGCTCCATATCATTTCTTCCTATTGTTGCACAATGTTGCCTCAAGGCAACACACTCCAAAAGAACCCCTACACACATTTTTAAAAATGTTTTTGAATTTAATAATTGGGTTTAAAAAAATAAATCAAGGACCATTTTATACAAGAAAAGTGAACTGATTTTTTTTAAATTGCTCTCCTAATGCATGCAGTAGAGGCTTAAGTTACAGCTGCATGCAAAAGTTTGGTTAGGCCACCCCTGGCCAAATTACATATTTTGTTGATGTTTGAAGTGATTTAAACACAACCTTTTCAGGAAACAAATAATAAAAAAAAAAAAATTACAAAAATACTAAAAAATAACAATTTTCTGCAAATGTTAATGCAAATTTACTTTTTTATTTGATTAGTTTAAAAATAAAAAAAATGAAATAGTAATTGTGGCATATGCTAAAGTTTGGACACCCTTTCATTTGTAAAGTCTTAGAACTTAATAATAAGTTGTTAGGCCTGATTGACTCATTAGGAATAGTTAGGAAAGTCAAGAAGTATCATTAGGAATTATCAGCTGAGGCCAATTCCAAACAAAAAAAATTCTCTGACTCTTCAAACTTTGTGCTAACACTCAACAATCATTGCCTCCTCCAAGCAGCTAGCTGAGGATCTGAAACTGAAGCTACTTAATCCATTCAAAGCAGATGAAGGCTACAGAAGGATATCAAAGCACTTTCAGATCACAGTTTCCACTGTCTGAAATGTCATTAAGAAATGGCAGTTAAGGGGAACTGTGGAAATCAAGACAAGATCTAAAAGACCAAGAAAACTCTCAGACAGAACTGTTCATATGCTGTCCAGAAGGGCAAAGCAAAACCCACATATGACAGCAAAGGGGCTACAGGAACAGGAAAACTAAGCTCACACAATAGTGGAAGTACACTGTTCTGCTGTGCAGCATTGATCGCACCAACATGATCAGCATGGAACAGTCATTGGAAGGAAAGTACGAGCAGCATTTGATGAAAAGAACACCTTGCCAACTGTAAAGTGTGAGAGTGGCACAGGGCACATTGCACAGGTGGATGGAAGAATGGATTCTGCTAAATGTCAGCAAATTTTAAAGCCAATGTGACACAGTCTGTCCAGAAACTGAAGCTGAAATGAGGCTAATTTCTAGAACAGACCTCAAAATCCAACATGAACTGCTTCCCAAGCTTTTGAACTAATCCTCATAATTCCCTGACTTGAACATCATTGAAAATCTGTGGCTAGACCTTAAACCTGCTGTGCATGCAGACAGCCCAAGAATATGGCAGAACTAGAAGCAGTAGCAAGAATGAGTGGGTGAAAATTCCTAGCTGGCCACAAACAAGGTTTGCAAGCAATGATATCCGCCAAAGGGGGTGTTAGTACTGACTTAGGTTATCCAAACTTTTGCACATGCCATAATTACTATTTTATTTTTTGCTACTTTTAATCTGAACCAAATATAAAGTAATTGCACATTAACATCTGTAGAAAAATAAAAAAAAGAAAAATTGAAAATAGTTTGCTGCCGATGTTATGTT